AGACCCGTAAGCGATCCAACGGAATGCCTCGACATCTTCGTTACCAAGGTGAGGCAGCTGAATCTCCATCAGAATCTGCAAATCTGTTCTCGGCGTTCTTTCGAAGTGTGCAAAGTAATAACCGACCACCTTTGACTGAATCGTACTTGAGCAATTTGCCGCACTACGACTTGAACGTGACCGTCTACAACTTATCTCGGCAAGATGTTTTTGCTAAGCTGGTTTCTATGATTCTTTGTATCGTAACGTTCACCATGTGATATCAGAGAGTCAGCATGGATTTGTCAGGAAGCGGTCAACAACAACCAACCTGATGTGCTACGTTTCTTCTCTTGTGGACAGCCTTGAAAAGCGACAACTGGTCGATGCAGTTTATGTCGACTTTTCTAAAGCATTCGACAAAGTGCCGCATGCACTGGCAGTGGAAAAACTCAAACGCATGGGATTCCCTCAGTGGCTTACTCAATCGATTGAATCGTACTTGTCTGAGGGTTGGGTTTTTGTACGCCTCGGTGGAACCTCATCTGAAACGTTCTCAATTACTTCCGGGGCTCCCCAAGGAAGTCATTTGGGACCATTACTTTTCGTGCTGTTTGTTAACGATCTGTGCGGACTCATCAGATCACCGAAGTACATGTTCGCTGATGACCTGAAATTCTTCCGCTTGATAACCTCCATGGTCGATTGTTGCGCTCTTCAGATGAATATCGACTCGCTTCTTGAATGCTGCTCATTAAACGGAATGGAAGTGAATATTCGTAAATTTAACATCATCTCGTTCTAGGACAACTGCCATTTTCGATTATAAGATGAACGCTTTAAGTGTCAACCGTGTGTCATCAATCAAGGATCTTGGATTAATACTGGACAGTAAGCTGAAATTCACCGAGCACATTGCAACAACCACCGCCAAAGCATATGCGATACTAGGGTTCATCAAGTGCAACACGCAGCAATTTGAGGATGTATACTGTCTAAAAACATTGTATTGTTCGCTAGTGCGTAGCATACTGGAATATGGCGTTCTAGTATGGGCACCGTATCACGTCACGTTTTGCTTTCGCATTGAAAAGATTCAACGTAACTTTGTCCGCTACGCTCTACGACTGTTACTATGGAACGATCTCTTGTCTTTACTATGGAACGATCTCAATGTCTTTCAACATTGGCTGATAGAAGGATTCTTCTACAACGGCTGTTCATATTCGACATTCTGGACAACAATGTAGATTGTGCTGAACTTCTAGGGAAAATCCAGTTCAATGCACCGGCTAGGCAGACGCAACAAAATGACCTTCTCCGTAATCCTCAGTATCGTACAGTCTACGGTCAAAACAATCCACTGGATGTTTACTGCCGTTGTTTCAACGAATCGCGCGAAGATTATGATTTTAATATTTCGAAAACCATGTTTAAAAATAGGATTAGTTCTTTAACTAGACATTAATAATTCTGTCTGTGCGTTTTTATTATATAAAGACAAGTAAATAAATAAATAAATAAATAAATAAATAAATAAATATATAAATAAAAGTATCTAGACAGGTGAGCAATACTCTGAACCTTAATATTCCCACTAAAAACCTTATCAGACTCCGTAGCACCATGCGTAGGCGGTACCAACGCACTGGACTGCCAGTCTTGAAGACCCATTGCAACCGTCTAACAAAAATTATCCAAGACTGGATGGTGGACCTCAGAAATGTGGACTTCAGTAACAAGATGAGCTCTCTCCCAGATTGTTCTAAGCGCTTCGGGAAGCTAACCAAAATCCTCAAAATAAGCCAAGACCCATTCCACCACTTGTGCCGTTGAATCAACCCAGTTATTCAGTTGCCCATCTGATAACCCCTGAAGAGAAGGCTGATGCTATAGGTCCACACTTCGTCAGTTCTCATAATCTCGGGCTGAACATGCCAAGTCCATTCGATACTACAGTTGCTGTAAATGCAACCAACCTCCATCGAATTTCCAACAACTTTCCTGTGGAATCCAAGGCTACGGCTGACAAACTATTGGCCTATACTAAATCATCTAAAAATATGAAGGCCCCAGATTTTGACCAAATTCTGATCCTGGAACTCAAACACCTAAGGTCCAGATTTTTCAACCATCTGGTACTAATTTTTAATCAGTGCCTCAGACTTGGCTACTTCCCCTCGTGCTGGAAGTCAGCTAAAGTCATCCCCATTTGGAAACCTGGGAAAGAGCCATCGTCTCCTTCAAACTACCGACCCATCAGTCTTCTCTCGGGGCTATCCAAGCTGTTCGGAAGAGCAGTCTACCATCGGCTCCTGGTATCTGCCTAGGAAAACAACTTATTGCTCGAGGAGCAGTTTTGCTTCCGTAAAGGACGCTCGACTGTTCACCAGCTCGCTCGAGTAACAAAATTTTTCAGACGGAACAAGTATGTATCTAAAACATCTGCCATGGCACGATGAAAAGGCGTTCGACAATGTTTGGCATGATGGCCTGGTCTACAAATTGCAGCGATACGGTTTTCCAATCTTCCTAGTGAAGATAATTAAAAAATACATCTCGGACAGGACAATTCAGAGTCTCTATCAATGGCATCACATCGGATGCTTTCCACATCGGTGCGGGTGTCCCACAGGGAAGCATCCTTGGCCCCATCTTGTTTAACCTGTTCACCTCCGATATGCCGGTTCTCTGATGGTGGATCATTGTCTCTGTTTGCAGATGACACATCCATCATCTTTAAGGGTAGGGTCATCGGAGCTCTGATCACCAAACTTCAGAGAGGCCTAAATGTCGTGTCAGAATATTTCAGCAGCTGGAAGATCCGTATCAACGCAGCAATGACCCAAGTCATCATCTTTCCTCATTCCAAATCACCCAGACTTGTTCCGTCTGAGAACAATAACGTCAACTTGAACGGCACAGTGATGGAATGGTCAAAAGAAGTAATGTACCTTGGTCTCACACTCGACAGCAAGCTGCTTTTTAGGGAACACATTGACAAAACAAAAACCAAATGTAACATCCTGATGAGATCCTTATATCCACTCATCAACAGGATATCCGCTCTGTCCCGGAAAAGCAAACTTGCTGTCTATAATTCTGTAATAGAATACGGTATGCCAATCTGGGAGAGAATTGCAAATTCCCATCATCTCAAATTACAAAGAGTTCAAAACAAGATTTTGAGGATGATCCTCAACAGTTCTCAACGAATGAGGAACTCTGAGGTCCATCGTCTGGTCTTCAGATGCTGGAGGACCACCAACTATCGACGGAGGACATCACGATTTTACGAGCCGTATCTACACCATGGAAACTGGATTTTGCAGAGAGCCTCGAGATCAACAAACAACGGAATTCAACTTTACTCAACAGGGGTCAAGGAAACGGACACATATGGATTTTCAAGTTACTACCTATGTCACATCAACGAGTAAGCAGTGGAGTACCTGTTCCAACAGGAAATTAAATTTAAGTTTACCTAATTTCTAAGTAAAAATGTATCGGTGTTAATAAATATTCGGTAAATGTGATGTTTTTCTTCAGCCGAGTATTAGTACAAGACACTGAAGAAGTCTGCACATTGTAGACGAAATACGCGTATCTGTCAAGGATAAGCAACTAAGGAAATGGAATTAAATTGAAATTACTAATCCTTCTCTTTCTCTCTCTTTATGTCATTTAGCTCATGAAATTTGGTAAAGCTATATGGAACATTGTTAGGGTAACTAGAAGTTCAACTTAAAAATGAATCCCGTTAATATGAATGGATTGTCGTTCAAATTTTTAAACAATATTCGATATGACGAACCAGCGAATCGGACAAAATATTATCGTAGTCCTACGTCAACAATGTGGTCGTGTCTTGGACACCACCCCATATCTGTTCTTTCCACGCCCTTTACGGCCTTTATGTTTCTCGTGAATGTGTGCTGATATTTCTACAGAATATATAAAATGTCAAGTTATCAATTGGGAATCGGCCTCGAGATACTGCAATTCATTCAATCCAATTAAAGCAGACTTTAACGTCAAGTGAACTTTTACCGATATAGCCTACATCCCGCAACCCTTGAACACAGACAAATAGACATAACTCTCACCATCATATTCTTCGCAAATTAGATTTTAGTTTGGAATGTGCTTGCATTTGTCATGGTGGCGCCACTGAAACGTTAAGCAAGCCACTACATTTTGATGGCATCAGTGATGCCAGTTCTTTTTAACGTCAATTTAGCAGATGTCAGCTCTTAAGAACGATAAGGGGACCAAGGCATCCCACTGAAGACATATACAGTAATGACCCGATTTTGTCAGCCCCCTTTTTGAAAAACTTTTCTAATGTTCTACGATATTCATTCGCTTTTACATTGGTCTTATTGCACCAAAGAATACTTTTAACACCTGTCTTGTAGATGCATGAGAATGATTTAAAATTGAGATTTTATGAAATTATTTAATGATAAAAGTCTGATGCACGGAGGGGCCGACAAAATCGACTACTAACATACTAATCTGACGAATACAGAATACATATGTTTTGCTATGTACACATTAAAGTGATGAGCGGTGTTAGAAAGGGCATTCATTAGTGATGCATTACCACGTTTAAAAACTTGTTTCCAGCAAAAGAAAAATCACACTAAACAATCAAAACAAATCCTTCAAAAGGACTGAGCTTCTGAGAATTTCTCCAACGGATTTGTATTTCTGCAAAATTCAATCAATTCTATAGATCTACGGAAAATTTCGTAGAACCGACATCACTGACTTCTATCTGTTTTGTTTTTATTCAACACAGCTGACGCGTTGACAGAACTAGGAAAAAGCAAAAACTTGCATGAACGGGAGATACTCCGGTTGGAAAACCGTGCTGGGAATGTACATGATAGAGTGCTAGTGTGCCTGAAAAATACACTTAACGATGTTTTTTGAAGAATTTATTCTAAGAGTTATATCTGTTTGTCTGTGACTTAAAATTAAACGACGATTCAAATACAATTAATTATTTATTTGGATGAAATTACAAAATCATAATAAAAATAGCAACCGTTCAAATAGCTCGAATCATCATTCGAACGGTCTTCAAACTAGTCCAGCTTTCTCCCGTCTTGAACTTTCCCCACCATATTCCCGACCATGATGTGGCGCCCCATTCACCCGTGAGATACCTGGGAAAAAATAAATGTGTTAGGTGGTTCTGACTTATATTTATGAACCTGGATATACAACTTACGAATCAAAAGAACCATCAAACCACCATCCCCCACAGCCATAGCTGTTTGAAGTCTTGCTGTACGCCCCACTGTCGTATGTTGAAAAGCTCACAAATCTGTGATGGGATAATCCATCTCCAGCCGATCCACTGTGTAATCCCAATTTCACGAGTGGATATTGTTGGTCTTCAGATCCAATCTCAAACCGATCGTACCTAGCGTAGCGTTTTTCGTCACTATTCAAGGCTGTCATTTCAACTACAAGCTCGTACGGTGTATCCTTGGTCAGTTGATGCATATTCTCCAACCCGAACCAGTATTCCCTTCCCACCGTTCCGAACCCATTGCGATATTCTTTCCAAGGTCGAGCGAAACACACCGAACCATTGGTACGCTGTAAAATAACAATCCAATTCGATCCGAATGGAGTGTCTACGTACTGAACTTTCACATTGTTCACGACTGACAAATGTCTATCCGAAACTGCCTGACTGACTGATTGTTCTGTCAAATTATCCTGGACTAGGTCTTTGCCGTCATCATTCTCAATGATTTGCATCAGCCCCGAAAAAATGGATTCCGTTTCCTTCTGGTGATGAGAGACCATTCGTAAAACTCTGAAATATTGATGGTTCTTAGTTGTACTGACGACAGAATAAGTCCAATCGATTGTTGCTTACCGATGTTCCACCTTATCCATCTTCGTAAAGTAGTCATTATGGATGGATTCTGTTTTGCTCTGCTGTAGATCGAACATTTCCGAGATACTGAAAGATGGCTGATTCTTATTTGTTCTGATGACACAATGAGTCCTATCGATTGACTTACCTAAGCTTCAGCTGATTTAGCTCAGTAGCGTGAGCATTCTGCAGCTGATCTAACATTTGTGTAACACTGCAAAAGGAATGATTTTTAGATGTTATTCCAGAAGGTTATAAATCCGGTCGATCGACTTACCGATGATCCAGCTTATCCAGCGCCTTAGAGTGGCCATTCTGCAGCAGATTGAACATGAATAAAACACTGAATAAGGGAAGATTATTCATTGTTCTGATAAGGGAATTAATCCAATCGATTGACTTACCGCTGGTCCTGCTGATCCAGTTTGGTTTGGATGGCACTGCAGTCACATTGAGGAGCCGTTTGGAAAGTGATCGGACGTGATTCTGAGTCTGACTGAGCCCAAGCCGTTGCAATAAGTGTAAACAAGACTGCTGTCCACATTTTGAGAGTTGGAACTGTGCTCAGATCGGCGGTTGAAGTGGGTTTAATTTTAAAACATGCAGATTTCTACTTTATATATATATTTTAAAAGCTCCTTCAAAGGAAGGGCTCCCTAAGACGCATAAGACGCATCAGCATACGGAGAAAGGTCAATTACAGACACGCGCTGATGATAATCTGACAGTTATCAAGCAACATTGTAAGTTGTTGTCATAATACTTTTCCAACGTTATTTAATAGGTTCTATCTGAATTAAACGTCGAAGCGGCTGCAACCCGAGCGGGAGAAAATAACTTATGAGTACCTAAATAAAAGGTTAAATACCAAAGAATAATACCAAGAAATTGCATGCAAAATGCTTTGTAAATAGCAAAAATTAACGACCTAATCAGATCTTCAATGAAGTAAATTTCCCGACATTTTTGGGACTGTCCTGAAGCTATCGGAAATTTGAGTTAATGTTGGGGGCATCAAATTGTATATCTAATGCGCTCATGAATTTTTAAGGCATAGAGGAAATGGATGTAATGTCGGCCTAAATGCCCCTTATTTGGGCCCATACTTAAATTCAGCAATCGACTAAATTTTCAATAGCGTTTTTGGTCGCTTTAGTACCGTCACAATGACGCGTTCATCTAGATTAAATTGATGAATAGCAGATTTTTAGCGATGGACCCAATCTTAGATCCACAGGCCAACATTAGAGCCATTTCCCCTATTTGAAAGCAGATTTTTTTCAAACGTTTGTTTTTGAGTTTGGAATATTTTCAAACAGATCATTTCTTATGTTGTATATTTGCAGCACAATTTTGCTCATATGAGCGCATACTTATCTGGATGGGCGTCCAAAAATTCTCGTATAATTTTGGTGCGCAAGTTGATTGTTATTGCTACACCCAGTTAATGGCAGGCTTGTATTCGTAATTATCAATTTGTATGGTTGTTTCGTATTACTTTGATACCAATCAGTAACATTGTGGTTCTAAATTGAAATGATTGATTGATGAATGATTAAACTGAATGCGACGAATGCGGTTGGTAGTCAAAACATCGGCACTCTGGGTGGTGATAAGAAAGGCTGTAGTGATACTTGGGGCAATACGCAAACATAACCAACTAAGATGAATGAGATGTTATCAGCAGCTGGTAGTTGATTCTGATCAGGCAATCTTAAGTCAACGAAACGAGAGAAACTCCTATCATTAACCAATTACTCGAATTCTTCAAGACCCATTGAAAAGCGATTTTCCTACGGTTGTCAGATGGGCCAAGGATCATGGATTCAATTCCAGACCCTTTTCCATTACAGTATTCATGCACTGAGGCAAATAGACTTAAGAATTGCATAAGGCTCGAATTATGAACGACACATATGAATTTCATAAGCACGAGTTATGAAAAATGTTCTTCTTACATGAGGTAGCTCTTCTACCATTCATTAGTCATTCCATTTTCCCAAGCGTTGACAGACGAGTGGTTCAGACTCGTAATCTCAACGTCCATGGTTCCGTTCCAGTCTGCTCAGTTTTACTATTTTTTTGTCGATATTATTTTTCATAAGGCAAATCAATGAAATTCATACCGATTTCTTGTGGCTAAAATTCATAAGTGGTTATTATGGAATTCTTACGTTCTTTTGCCTCAGTGTAGGTTAGAGGTACGCTTACAAAAATCGCATTACATTCCAAAATCAATCCATAGTAACAACGCTTCGGAAACCAACAAAGCTTCTCTTTCCCAATGACCGTATGGACATTGCCGGCGTCATTATTAACCATATAAAGTACAAGTACAGTAACGAATATAGTGGAATTTCGGTTTATATTACTTCCGGTTTTAGCTCGAAAAATGTTTCGCTTATTTAAGTTCGTTACATACCAAGCGAAAACGTAGTCGCGTTTAGTCGCGAAACGTTATGGTTCTGAGAAGCTCGATGACCCTGGAGGGATCGTTTTTGCTTACTGAGCAGAAAATCATGGGTTTAATCCCAATCTCTCCATCATGACTCTAAAAATGCATGATCACTAGACCTGTTCATTTTAAAAGAAATGTTCGGAATGTAACGGGTCAACCGTGATTACTGCTCGTCATGTTAATTTGAACTTTTGTGCAAATTTTCAGCAAAATCGGTGTTGATTTAGAGGTGCTTCAAGTTAATTTTATGTTTTTAAGGTAATTTACGGCTTACAATATTTGTATCTCGAGACTGAAATAACGAAAACTGCTGTAACAACTTTCATAGCAAAGTTTAATGTGTCATGTATCAACTTTGTAACCAAAGGTTGACTATTCGAAGTGATTTTATTGAATTTTCACTTAGTTTCATGCTCGAAGATATCTTAAAAAGTGAAGAATTTTAAAGTATTTGTTCTACGAATTTTCCACCCATATGATATAAAAATGTGTAGTGTACGGTATAATGTTCCTCATATTGTTCTAGAAGTTTCGTTCCAACATAGTTTTCGTGTATATTTCATAGATTGAGAGATAAAAATCAGAAAAGAGGCCGTTTTAGCTAAAATTCACAAGACAACAGAACCAATAAAAGTCAATTAGATTGACAGAACATAGTTGCATTGCTTTTCAATGACGACCGATGACTGTTTCATTGATATATGATTTTTTCATAAATATGAATCCTCAGTAGACGTGTTTTTTTTTATCAAAGGCAAGTGTCACTCGAACCATAACAGCAATTTATAAAATAACGAACATTTGAATGGCTCGAGTGACACTTGCCTTTAATAAAAAAAACACGTCTACTGAGGATTCATATTTATGAAAAAATCATATATCAATGAAACAGTCATCGGTCGTCATTGAAAAGCAATGCAACTATGTTCTGTCAATCTAATTGACTTTTATTGGTTCTGTTGTCTTGTGAATTTCAGCTAAAACGGCCTCTTTTCTGATTTTTATCTCTCAATCTATGAAATATACACGAAAACTATGTTGGAACGAAACTTCTAGAACAATATGAGGAACATTATGCCGTACACTACACATTTTTATATCATATGGGTGGAAAATTCGTAGAACAAATACTTTAAAATTCTTCACTTTTTAAGATATCTTCGAGCATGAAACTAAGTCAAACTTCAATAAAATCACTTCGAATAGTCAACTTTTGGTTACAAAGTTGATACATAACACATTAAACTTTGCTATGAAAGTTGTTACAGCAGTTTTCGTTGTTTCAGTCTCAAGATACAAATATTGTAAGCCGTAAATTACCTTAAAAACATAAAATTAACTTGAAGCACCTCTAAATCATCACCGATTTTGCTGAAAATTTGCACAGAAGTTCAAATTAACATGACGAACAGTAATCACGGTTGACCCGTTACATTCCGAACATTTCGTTTAAAATGAACAGGTCTAATGATCACTAAACAAAATGAATATTTTCTTTCGATAGTCGGGTATGGAGAGAATAAATGGGCAACACATGAACAATATATACTTTTGGTTGCATCGCCAACTTGATGCGAATCCTAACCGAATACACTACCCAAGCCTCCAACTCCGTAGCACTTATGAGGGTGTCGATAAGTGCTACATCAACATCTCCTTCCCTATCCCTAGTTATGATAAAGATGGGCGTGGCCTGGAATATCGACAGTCATGCTTCTGGTATTCTTATTTAGATTGAAATCAATGTTTACTCCCCAGCATTATTCCTGCCAGTAGTCTGACATTTGTAGACATTTTTTATTGATATGAGCTATGCAGAGTGATTCGAAATAACTATCACTTTTAAAAATGATCTTAAAGATTGAACGCTTGCATTAATTTTTAGATATCATTATATTTCAGATATACTCTAATAGCCAGCCACACGAAAATGAGCCTACAAATGGGCTACAAAATGGTGAGTTGAAGGTGCGGAATACCTAGCCTTGGTCCTCACAAGTTCCTACTTCACGCCTCCTCGAGTCATATGATAACAAAAGACTACCAGCTGAAACATGGACACAGCTGGGTGGCGTAGCCTGGGCAATGTTGCCAGTTCGGCAATAGCAAAGTGAAGAGGTGCGACGCGAACACTGGCGCGGTAACCATAGTACGGTGATAGAGGAAATGCTTCACCAAACCCGAGCGTCTGTTCACCATGGAGGTGCGGCTCAAAACGGCGTCTGTTCTCCATGTTAGGAGCGACTGATCACCGTCCTAGTGCCAGCGTGGGACTCTAAACAGGTTGGGTTGGGTTGGGGCAGGCCCAACAAGGCGCCCTGGAAAAAAAAACAAAGTTGCAAATACCGAAGAAAGAAATACGGATCGGAACAATCGGCACAGACCTACGCGACGAAATAAGGACTACGATTGGAAACTCGGAACATGGAACTGCAATTCGCTCGGCTTCCCGGGTTGCGATAGGTTAATATGTGACGAACTTCAACCACGCAATTTCGAAGTCTGAGCACTGCAGGAACTTTGCTGGACGGGACAAAAGGTATGGAAAAGCGGGCATCGAGCGGCTACTTTCTACCAGAGCTGTGGCATCACCAACGAGCTGAGAAGCGGCTTTGTAGTGCTGGGTAAGATGCGCCAACGCGTGATTGGTTGGCAGCCGATCAACGCGAGGATGTGTATGTTGAGGATTAAGGGCCGTTTCTTCAACTACTGTATCATAAACGTGCACTGCCCACACGAAGGGAGACCCGACGACGAGAAAGAAGCGTTCTATGCGCAGCTGGAGCAGGTGTACGACGGCTGTTCGCAACGGGACGCAAAATCGTCATCGGCGACATGAACGCTCAGGTAGGACGGGAAGGAATGTATAGACCGGCAATCGGGCCAAACAGCCTGCATGCCGTATCGAACGACAATGGCCAACGATGCGTGAACTTTGCAGCCACCCGGGGTATGGTAGTTCGAAGTACCTTTCCCCCCCCCCCGTAAGGATATCCAAAAATCCACCTGGAGATCACCTGACCAACACACAGAAAACCAAATCTATCACGTTCTAATCGACGGGAAATTCTTCTCCGACATTATCAACGTCCGCACGTACCGCAGTGCGAACATAGAGTCGGACCACTACCTAGTTGCAGTATGC